TCACAAGTCTGACTTTTTTCCTCAGAATTGCATGATAAAAACTCACAATTCTGAGAAATACTTGCAATTCTGAGAAATAGTCACAATTCTGAGAAATACTTGCAATTCTGAGAAATAAGTTCACAATTCTGAGAAATACTTGCAATTCTGAGAAATAAAGACGCAATTCTGAGAAATAGTTGCAATTCTGAGAAATAAAGTCACAATTATGAGAAATAAAGTTGCAATTCTGAGAAATAGTCACAATTATGAGAAATAAAGTTGCAATTCTGAGAAATAGTCACAATTATGAGAAATAGTCCCAATTATGAGAAATAAAGTTGCAATTCTGAGAAATAGTCACAATTATGAGAAATAGTCCCAATTATGAGAAATAAAGTTGCAATTCTGAGAAATAGTCACAATTATGAGAAATAGTCCCAATTATGAGAAATAAAGTTGCAATTCTGAGAAATAGTCACAATTATGAGAAATAGTCCCAATTATGAGAAATAAAGTTGCAATTCTGAGAAATAGTCACAATTATGAGAAATAGTCCCAATTATGAGAAATAAAGTTGCAATTCTGAGAAATAGTCACAATTATGAGAAATAGTCCCAATTATGAGAAATAAAGTTGCAATTCTGAGAAATAGTCACAATTATGAGAAATAGTCCCAATTATGAGAAATAAAGTTGCAATTCTGAGAAATAGTCACAATTATGAGAAATAGTCCCAATTATGAGAAATAAAGTTGCAATTCTGAGAAATAGTCACAATTATGAGAAATAGTCCCAATTATGAGAAATAAAGTTGCAATTCTGAGAAATAGTCACAATTATGAGAAATAGTCCCAATTATGAGAAATAAAGTTGCAATTCTGAGAAATAGTCACAATTATGAGAAATAGTCCCAATTATGAGAAATAAAGTTGCAATTCTGAGAAATAGTCACAATTATGAGAAATAGTCCCAATTATGAGAAATAAAGTTGCAATTCTGAGAAATAGTCACAATTATGAGAAATAGTCCCAATTATGAGAAATAAAGTTGCAATTCTGAGAAATAGTCACAATTATGAGAAATAGTCCCAATTATGAGAAATAAAGTTGCAATTCTGAGAAATAGTCACAATTATGAGAAATAGTCCCAATTATGAGAAATAAAGTTGCAATTCTGAGAAATAGTCACAATTATGAGAAATAGTCCCAATTATGAGAAATAAAGTTGCAATTCTGAGAAATAGTCACAATTATGAGAAATAGTCCCAATTATGAGAAATAAAGTTGCAATTCTGAGAAATAGTCACAATTATGAGAAATAGTCCCAATTATGAGAAATAAAGTTGCAATTCTGAGAAATAGTCACAATTATGAGAAATAGTCCCAATTATGAGAAATAAAGTTGCAATTCTGAGAAATAGTCACAATTATGAGAAATAGTCCCAATTATGAGAAATAAAGTTGCAATTCTGAGAAATAGTCACAATTATGAGAAATAGTCCCAATTATGAGAAATAAAGTTGCAATTCTGAGAAATAGTCACAATTATGAGAAATAGTCCCAATTATGAGAAATAAAGTTGCAATTCTGAGAAATAGTCACAATTATGAGAAATAGTCCCAATTATGAGAAATAAAGTTGCAATTCTGAGAAATAGTCACAATTATGAGAAATAGTCCCAATTATGAGAAATAAAGTTGCAATTCTGAGAAATAGTCACAATTATGAGAAATAGTCCCAATTATGAGAAATAAAGTTGCAATTCTGAGAAATAGTCACAATTATGAGAAATAGTCCCAATTATGAGAAATAAAGTTGCAATTCTGAGAAATAGTCACAATTATGAGAAATAGTCCCAATTATGAGAAATAAAGTTGCAATTCTGAGAAATAGTCACAATTATGAGAAATAGTCCCAATTATGAGAAATAAAGTTGCAATTCTGAGAAATAGTCACAATTATGAGAAATAGTCCCAATTATGAGAAATAAAGTTGCAATTCTGAGAAATAGTCACAATTATGAGAAATAGTCCCAATTATGAGAAATAAAGTTGCAATTCTGAGAAATAGTCACAATTATGAGAAATAGTCCCAATTATGAGAAATAAAGTTGCAATTCTGAGAAATAGTCACAATTATGAGAAATAGTCCCAATTATGAGAAATAAAGTTGCAATTCTGAGAAATAGTCACAATTATGAGAAATAGTCCCAATTATGAGAAATAAAGTTGCAATTCTGAGAAATAGTCACAATTATGAGAAATAGTCCCAATTATGAGAAATAAAGTTGCAATTCTGAGAAATAGTCACAATTATGAGAAATAGTCCCAATTATGAGAAATAAAGTTGCAATTCTGAGAAATAGTCACAATTATGAGAAATAGTCCCAATTATGAGAAATAAAGTTGCAATTCTGAGAAATAGTCACAATTATGAGAAATAGTCCCAATTATGAGAAATAAAGTTGCAATTCTGAGAAATAGTCACAATTATGAGAAATAGTCCCAATTATGAGAAATAAAGTTGCAATTCTGAGAAATAGTCACAATTATGAGAAATAGTCCCAATTATGAGAAATAAAGTTGCAATTCTGAGAAATAGTCACAATTATGAGAAATAGTCCCAATTATGAGAAATAAAGTTGCAATTCTGAGAAATAGTCACAATTATGAGAAATAAAGTTGCAATTCTGATAAATAAAAATGCAATTCTGAGAAATAAAGATGCAATTCTTAGAAATATTCGCAAATCTGAGAAATAAAGATGCAATTCTGAGAAATAAAGATGCAATTCTGAGAAATATTCGCAATTCTGAGAAATAAAGTCACAATTCTGAGAAATAAAGTCACAATTCTGAGAAGTAAAAATGCAATTCTGAGAAATGAAGTAGTAATTCTGAGAAATAAAGCTGCAATTCTAAGAAATAGTCGCAATTCTGAGAAAGTCGCAATTCTGAGAAATAATCGCAATTCTGAGAAATAAAGATGCAATTCTGAGAAATAAAGATGCAATTCTGTGAAATAGAGATGCAATTCTAAGAAATAGTCGCAATTCTGAGAAATAGTCGCAATTCTGAGAAATAAAGATGCAATTATGAGAAATAAAGTCACAATTCTGAGAAATAAAGTCACAATTCTGAGAAATAAAGATGCAATTCTGAGAAATAAAGTAGCAATTCTGAGAAATAAAGTCACAATTCTGAGAAGTAAAAATGCAATTCTGAGAAATGAAGTAGTAATTCTGAGAAATAAAGATGCAATTCTAAGAAATAGTCGCAATTCTGAGAAAGTCGCAATTCTGAGAAATAATCGCAATTCTGAGAAATAAAGTAGCAATTCTGAGAAATGAAGTAGTAATTCTAAAAAAAATACATTTGCAATTCTGAGAAATAGTCAATTCTGAGAAATACTCGCAATTCTGAGAAATAAAGTAGTAATTCTGAGAAATAGTCTCAATTCTGAGAAATAAAGTCACAATTCTGAGAAATAAATTAGCAATTCTGAGAAATACTCGCAATTCAGAGAAATAAAGTAGAAATTTACATTTAGTCATTTAGCAGACGCTTTTATCCAAAGATAAAAATAAATTAGATAAATTAGAAATAAATTAGCAATTCTGAGAAATGTCACAATTAGAAATAAAGTAGAAATTTACATTTAGTCATTTAGCAGACGCTTTTATCCAAAGATAAGAATAAATTAAATAAATTAGAAATAAATTAGCAATTCTCACAAATCTGAGAAAGTCGCAGTTCTGATTTTTTATTGTTTAATAGAAACTCGCAATTCTGAAATAAAGTCAGATTTGTGATATAAACTTGCATTTGCAAGAAAAAAGAGAAAAACAATAAAGAAATAAAGTCGCAATTCTGATAAAAAAGTCAATTTATTGCTCAGAATTGCGACTTTATTTCTCAAAATTGTGAGATTTAATCTCACAATTCTGTTGTTCATCTCTTAATAATAGTTAATATCTCGCAATTTTTACTTTATAATTCAACTGAGTTATAAAGTCATAATTCTGAAATATAAACTCGCAATTTTAAGAAAAGTTTTTTTTTTAGCGAACTTTAATTTAGCTAATGTATGACTTAAGAAGGCCGAACGGAGCCGCTGTAGATACACATATACTGTAATCCAATATGACACGAGCTACGATTAACAATATATGTAATGGCACGAGTCCAGCACATCGATATCTGCTCAAACCAGCAGACAGAGCCGTCTGGTATGATAATATACACAGTACACACAATGCTATTCATTCGTTGTTTAAAAAAATTATACTTTTATTCAGCAAGCATGCATTAAACTGATCAAAAGAGACAGTAAAGACATTTACAGTGTAATGTTGCGAAATATGATTTTTTTTATATTTCAAATAAATGCTTTAAAAAAAAAGAATCCTGAAAAATAAATATATGATGACATACATGGTTTTAATACATCCAAACACTCTCAGAAAAAAAGCTGTCACTGGGGTGGTACCTTTTTAAAAAGTTTTGTACCTTATTTACCCCAAAGGGCCCATAATAGTGCCTTAAATATACCTGTTAGTACCTTTTTCTGAGACTGAATGACACAAATAAACAAATTTATTTGTGTTCATGTTTGTAATTTGAATGTACTGAACCATATAGTCACTCAAAAAAGCCAAAAATTGTTCTTGATTACGATCGTTTTTTAAAGAACCATCAAAAAACCTTTTATTATTTTTTTATCAAATTTTTATTGATATTTTATCATCTTCTAAACATTCAGAACAACATAGGCAAACAATCAGTGGTAAAAATCCAGATGAACTTGCTGCAACCCTTGGCATTTAAACCATTAATAAAACTGAAAGAAGGTAGAAAACAGCAAATTAAAACCCAAAAAGTGAACCGTAAAAAGAGAAATAGAAAAAAGGAGCTAACCTTTTATTTTTGAAGCAATAGCTCACCCGAAATGTCATTGTTTTGTGAGTTTCATTCAGACTTGAGCTGGTGAATGTAATTGAGCATCATGTTTCTGTGCCGCAGTATTGGAGCGACTACTATCTGCAGTGGAATACAAGCGATTATCCCGGCGTGAACACGGTTCGCTTCCCAGACTCCCTCATCTGGAGGCCCGACATCCTGCTGTATAACAGGTAGAGAAACCAAAGCCTGATCCCAGACACAAGGCATCAAAGCATCGTTAATGCTTTAGTGTTTCTGCTTTAGCTCAGATCATTTATTATTTATTCTTTGCAAAAATATTTTGCACACTCTTTGACTCTTGATATGAAACATCCGTCAACTCTAACAGATTCAAATTCAACGTTGTTTAATAGTATTGTTGGTATTTTCTGATCATTTTACTCCTGCTCGCACAGAAATGCAAATGTTGCATCAACAAATTGGAATATGTGTAAAGCTTGATTGGATTTCTGTCAATACCCGTCCCATTCAGGAGGAACAGCTGATCCGGATGCATTGATTACAGTGATTTAAAGGAGTAGTTCACTCAAAAATGAACATTTGCTGAAAATGCACTCACCCTCAGGCCACCAAAGATTAGGATGAGTTTGTTTCTTCATCAGATTTGGAGAAATGTAGCATTGCATCACTTGCTCTCCAATGGAAGTGAATGGGTGCCGTCAGAATGAGAGTCCAAACAGCTGATAAAAACATCACAGTAATCTACACCACTCCAGTTCATCAGTTAACATCTGGAGAAGACAAAAGCTGAAACAAATCCATCATTAAGACATTTTTAACTTCAAACCATTCCTTCCAGCTAAAATAGGAGTTCATAATCCATCTGAATCAGGAGAGAAATCTGCACAGATCAAGCACCGTTTACAAGCCAGAACAGCTCTAAACAAATATGTGGATGGATTATGATGTGAGAGACAACAGGAGATGGACTTCTTCACTGGAGGAAGCATTATTATGGATTATTGACTCATATTTTGGCCAGAGGTGGCAGTTTAAAGTTAAAATGTCTTAATGATAGGTTTGTTTCTTACACTTCTCAAGACATTAACTGATGGACTGGAGTGGTGTAGATTACTGTGATGTTTTTATCAGCTGTTTGGACTCTCATTCTGACGGCACCCATTCACTTCCATTGGTGAGCAAGTGATGCAATGCTGCATTTCTCCAAATCTGATGAAGAAGCAAACTCTTGGATGGCCTGAGGGTGAGGATATTTTCAGAAAACTTTCAATTGTGGGTGAACTATTGCTTTAAGAGAAGTCAGTGAAGAGTGAGTCTGTTTTTTTTTTCTCACTCAACCTCAGTAAAAATTACAGCGCAAATTAGCTGCTCGTTTTTTTCACAGAGGCTCTTTTATTCTCAGCACTTCTCATTTATTTTGACCTTCACGTTTTTGCACTGACCCTCATTATGAATTTACAGCTTTTTTTTTTTGACTTCCAGAGTAAAATAACCGCAGTGCTGCTAGCGTCCCATATGACATAAAATAAATCGTTCATGTTCACACAAAAACAGTAATTAATGCATAAATTGTATGTATTTCAATTGCATATCAATTTCCATCCGTTTACACGATTTTAACACAAACTAATAAACAATAACGTGATGCATATTTGTCAGTTATACATCAGATCAGGTCAGATTTCTGTAATAATACTAATAAACCGAATGTATTTTAATACAGAACAACTGGGTTTATTTATCTGTCATTATTAAATGCCATTTGTTTCACTGTCATACATTTTAACTAAATGAATATTGCTTGTTCCACAGCTAGTCATATTTTAACCATTTTCATACCAATTTGTATTAATATTTTGAATGTTTTTATTTTACGTGATGCATATTTGTCAGTTATACATCAGATCAGGTCAGATTTCTGTAATAATACTAATAAACCAAATGTATTTTAATACAGAACAACTGGGTTTATTTATCTGTCATTATTAAATGCCATTTGTTTCACTGTCATACATTTTAACTAAATTAATATTGCTTGTTCCACAGCTAGTCATATTTTAACCATTTTCATACCAATTTGTATTAATATTTTGAATGTTTTTATTTTTGTTTTCTGTTTAAAATGAGCTACAATTTCTTTTTTATTCGTTTTTGAAATATGTATATATTATATTCTTTCTTTTTTTAAATTTTAGTGTTAATTATTTAGTGCTTGAAGTTAAACTACATAAGAAGTGTTGCCTTGGCAAGTAGCTGAAATTAAAAAAAGTTTAATTTTATTTTTATTTTATTTCAGTTCATTTTTTATTGTTATCATTTAAATGTACAACTTTTGCTTTATGGTTTTAGTTTTAGTTAACTATAATAACCTTGATTATTTAAACAAACTTATTTTTTTCAGCTGTCAAGGAAACATTTTATTTAACTACTTAAATAACTAAACCTGAAATAAAAGTTAATAAAAACATAATTTAAAATAGACATATTTAAAATAATAATAAAAGTGGCAAAAATACAACAAAATTACTCAAATTACTACTAAATTATTACTAAATTACTAAATTTAATTTTTTTTAATAAAATCGGATGATATAGAAAATAAAAATGAATTCAAAATATTAATAAAAATCATAATAGTAGGCTATATCAGTGATACTGAAGTAACACTGGGGCAGCAATCTGACACATTTTAATTATGTATGACTAACAAATATGCATCACAATAAGTTTTATTAGTTTGTTTCTGTTAAAACTGTTTCTATATATTATAACTGTTTATACAATACATAAAAGTTTGTGAGTGTTGGGTTTACATGCAAACAGAGTGCATGATCAGACAGCATAGATTATAACAGCCATTTCTGTTTGCGATGCAATTACCCAGCATGCACCGCTTTCGTGACTGCAGTCTCTTCTTGCAGAAGGTCTTATCATCTCTCTGTGTGTCCGAAAGTGGCGAGGACGTCGAGAGAACGAGGGTTTAGCCTCTCTCTCTGCTCTCCTGCGAAACGCCGTCACTCACTGTGTCATCTCCGGCAGTTCTGTGGCGTCTTAAATAACCCTGATTTACACGGCTGACTCCAGACTCACGCCGCTCGTGCTTTATAGACCTGTTTGTCCCACTAAAGTTGCAGGGTTGTGCACTTCCAAACTGCGACACGGCCATCAGAAGTTTGGAAATGTTGCATGTGTGTGTTCTGCGTTGTGATGATTTTCCACACGTTAGGATCGTACTGATACAGTGAATGTCTGGGAACGATGCTGTGATCAAAACACAAATGAAAACTCTTCGTCTGTGGGTCTTTTGTTTCTAACAGTGCTGATGAGAGGTTTGACGCCACATTTCACACAAACGTGCTGGTCAACTCATCTGGATACTGTCAGTACTTGCCACCAGGTAAAATACACATAAAAACCCACAATGTCTGCCTGTTATGATGGGATTACGTCTTCATGTCACTATTCTGTGATGGTAAATTATCAATGCAATACGGTTAAAGTTTTTATTAATATTTAGATTTAGAATTATTCAAATTTAGAATTTATTTTGAGTAACACATTTTTGATCGTTTTTGGTTTCACAAGTTGGGATTTTGCTTAGTTTTTTTACTTTAGTTTCTTTATTCAGTTTATTGACTTGTCTTGACACATATAGCAGCATCTCAAAAAATATTTCTAATATAATCTATGATTTTACAGTGTGCAATGTTTGTCAAATCACTACATTTTCTGAATAGACCCACATGGGATCATTTTGTACATTTATCAAGAATGTAAAGTTCTCATAAAAGTTAATTTAACGTTTAAGTCATTTAAACATTTTTATTTATAATAATATTGATAATTAATAGTAGTAGTAGTATCATTTTAAATATAATACTAGTTTTAGTAATACATTTAAATATATTACAAATTTTAATGTATAATCTGCAGCAAAATAAAACTTACAAAAATGTTAAAATCACCAAAGCAAGATGGTGGTGTCAATTTTCTTAAATTAAATAAGTAAACAAATAAATACAGCAAGGTTTTGTTAACTAATAATGATGAATACTGAATGTGCATCAGGTGATTTTACTTTGTTTATATTCATGTTATGAAGGTGCTGAAAGCAAATCATTATATATTCTATTGTAGTTTTACAGTATGATTGTAATTTGTACATGCAATTTTCTTAAAAATTCTGTTTAGCTGTAATGTATTTTTATTTCAGTTTTTGTTTTATTAATAGTACTTTTAAGTCGCCTTAAGTCACGTCTGCATTTCTGGCCTTGTATTAGTCATTGAAACTGTCTAATAGGTTATAAAAATGTAAGTACTCACACATCTCCAGCCTGTCCTGATTTATTTTGTATCCTCCTAGTTGTGGCTCAAAGTAAATCCTGAGTGTCCTGCAGGTAATTTGGCATTGTGGCTCTGTTCACGTGCGCTCGTCTCATTCCCTCGTGAGCTGACAGAGACTGTGCCATCCATCCCTTTAGTTAGTGTGGCTCAGGGTGACCTGGACTCACCTGTCACCTGGAAAACACACAAACACACACTCTCACCTCTTATTCTGCCGTTTCAATTACTGTCCGTGCGTTCGCTGACAGGAATCAATACAAACACTCACACACGACGGGCTGAGAGTTCAGAAAGAAATGCATGATGGGATTTATGTAAATCAGCAGGAGACAGTGAGCGATCCGTTTTTCCCATGAGGCCGTGTGGAGCCCTCCGGAGGCTTTATTACGGGATGGGGACGGAAATTGAGTGGAACGACTTTAGACTCCAAACAAATTGGATTCACAGAAGTTTGTCTTCAGAGGGACTTTCCTCTAGTTCAGTTCATTGGGGAATTATTTAGGGATGCACGATATTATCGGAACGTTATCGGAATCGGCCAATTCCGATAATATCGTGCATCAATTTGAAAAAATGATGCCGATAAGACGGATAGGTCACATGTGCTCAGGGTGTGATAGTGATAAGATAGTGTGGTCATTCTTGACACTTGTAAATTAAATAATTTAATATATACAGATTTATTAATTATTATGCAATATATTTTTTTCAAATGGGTTATGAAAACTTAAATACAAGGTGCTGTAAAAGAGTTTTAGAATTTTTACAGCTCTTTTGCTTTAGACCATGTATTAATGATAAATCCACCAATAAAATCTTAAAGTTTCAACTACATCTGTCTGAGAAAAAACACACACACACACACAGCAGAGATTTATTTTATTACATTTATTTTCAAGGCTTTCAATGTACTCTTATTAAAAAAAAGAACTTTAATAATGGTTATTTATTACTTCTGCTCACTAACCAAAATTTTAAAAATGTGTTTATATTTTGTGCACAGGAGAGACTTGGTGTTGTTTCAAAACAAAGGGAAATATATATCGGTATCGGCATTGTCTATCGGCCAAAACGATTTGAAAAATATCGGCATATCGGATATCGACAAAAATCTAAAATCGTGCATCACTAGAATTATTTTCACCTCTGTTTTGGAATAGCATATGATCAAAGTATTCATACGAAACTAAACTGCACTCTTAATATCTTCTGCCATTTTACTGGTTTCAAGATGTTTAAGTGGTAAGGAAGTTGTGTCATGTTTGATTCTTTCTTGATGCATTTGTTTTTGATTCTGTCTGATTCTGTTGTGTTTGATTTGTTTGTTTTTGATTCTGTTGTGTTTAATGCATTTCTTTTTAATTATGCTGTGTTTGATTTGTTGGCTTTTGATTCTGCTGTGTTTGATTCTTTTTGATTCTGTTCTGTTTTCTTTGTTTTTGGTTCTGTTCCGTTTGATTTTATTTGATTCTGTTTTGTTTGTTTTTGATTCTTTTTGATTCTGCTCTGTTTTCTTTGTTTTTGGTTCTGTTCCGTTTGATTTTATTTGATTCTGTTTTGTTTGTTTTTGATTCTTTTTGATTCTGCTCTGTTTTCTTTGTTTTTGGTTCTGTTCCGTTTGATTTTATTTGATTCTGTTTTGTTTGTTTTTGATTCTGTTTGATTCTGCTCTGTTTTCTTTGTTTGTTTTTTGTTCTATTCTGTTTGATTTTATTTGTTTCTGTTGTGTTTGATTTTTATTTATTTTTTTATTCTGTTCTGTTTGATAGATTCTGTCTGATTCTATTGTGTTTGATTCTGTTTGATTCTGCTCTTTTTGATGCATTTGTTTTTTATTTAGTTAGGAGAGACTTGGTGTTGTTTCAAAACAAAGGGAAATATATATCGGTATCGGCATTGTCTATCGGCCAAAACGATTTGAAAAATATCGGCATATCGGATATCGACAAAAATCTAAAATCGTGCATCACTAGAATTATTTTCAGCTCTGTTTTGGAATAGCATATGATCAAAGTATTCATACGAAACTAAACTGCACTCTTAATATCTTCTGCCATTTTACTGGTTTCAAGATGTTTAAGTGGTAAGGAAGTTGTGTCATGTTTGATTCTTTCTTGATGCATTTGTTTTTGATTCTGTCTGATTCTGTTGTGTTTGATTTGTTTGTTTTTGATTCTGTTGTGTTTAATGCATTTCTTTTTAATTATGCTGTGTTTGATTTGTTGGCTTTTGATTCTGCTGTGTTTGATTCTTTTTGATTCTGTTCTGTTTTCTTTGTTTTTGGTTCTGTTCCGTTTGATTTTATTTGATTCTGTTTTGTTTGTTTTTGATTCTGTTTGATTCTGCTCTGTTTTCTTTGTTTGTTTTTTATTTTATTCCGTTTGATTTTATTTGATTCTGTTTTGTTTGATTTTAATTCTGTTGTGGTTGATTCTGTTTTTGTTTGTTTTGTTTTCTTTGTTTGTTTTTTATTTTATTCCGTTTGATTTTATTTGATTCTGTTTTGTTTGATTTTAATTCTGTTGTGGTTGATTCTGTTTGATTCTGCTCTGTTTTCTTTGTTTGTTTTTTATTCTATTCCGTTTGATTTTATTTGTTTCTGTTGTGTTTGATTTTTTATTTATTTTTTATTCTGTTCTGTTTGATAGATTCTGTCTGATTCTATTGTGTTTGATTCTGTTTGATTCTGCTCTTTTTGATGCATTTGTTTTTTATTTAGTTTGATTCTGTTTTGTTTGATTTTATTGTTTTTGATTATGTTCTATTTGATAGATTCTATTTTATTCTATTGTGTTGGATTCTGCTCTGTTTGATGCATTTGGTTTTGATTCTTTTTGATTCTGTTGTGTTTGATTTGTTTGTTTGTTTTTGATTCTGTTCTGTTTGAATCCATTTGATTCTGTTGTTTTTTGTTGATTTGTTTGTTTTTGATTGATTTTTGATTTGCTTGTTTTTAATTCTGTTGTGCTTGGTTTGTTTGTTTTTTATTATGTTCTGTTTAGTTATTTTCTGTTTGATTCACTTTGTTTTTGTTGTGTTTGATTCTGTTGTGTTTAAGTAACTCAGTAATGAATGAGTGAGTAACTCACTCATTCATTCATTCATTCATTCACTCATTCATACTCACTCACTCATTCATTAATTTGTTTGTTTGTGATCAGTTGTGGGTAAGAAAATGGGCAAAGAAAGCATTTTTACAGCGTCAGTGACTAAACTAATACAGCATTTCCCGCAATGCTTCTGTTGTTAAGGTATCTTTAAGAGCACCTGCTACATCGATGTGCGCTGGTTCCCGTTTGATGTTCAGCGGTGTGATCTAAAGTTCGGCTCCTGGATTTTATTCCGTTTGATTTTATTTGATTCTGTTTTGTTTGTTTTTGATTCTGTTTGATTCTGCTCTGTTTTCTTTGTTTGTTTTTTATTTTATTCCGTTTGATTTTATTTGATTCTGTTTTGTTTGTTTTTGATTCTGTTTGATTCTGCTCTGTTTTCTTTGTTTGTTTTTTATTTTATTCCGTTTGATTTTATTTGATTCTGTTTTGTTTGTTTTTGATTCTGTTTGATTCTGCTCTGTTTTCTTTGTTTGTTTTTTATTTTATTCCGTTTGATTTTATTTGATTCTGTTTTGTTTGTTTTTGATTCTGTTTGATTCTGCTCTGTTTTCTTTGTTTGTTTTTTATTTTATTCCGTTTGATTTTATTTGATTCTGTTTTGTTTGTTTTTGATTCTGTTTGATTCTGCTCTGTTTTCTTTGTTTGTTTTTTGTTCTATTCTGTTTGATTTTATTTGTTTCTGTTGTGTTTGATTTTTATTTATTTTTTTATTCTGTTCTGTTTGATAGATTCTGTCTGATTCTATTGTGTTTGATTCTGTTTGATTCTGCTCTTTTTGATGCATTTGTTTTTTATTTAGTTTGATTCTGTTTTGTTTGATTTTATTGTTTTTGATTATGTTCTATTTGATAGATTCTATTTTATTCTATTGTGTTGGATTCTGCTCTGTTTGATGCATTTGGTTTTGATTCTTTTTGATTCTGTTGTGTTTGATTTGTTTGTTTGTTTTTGATTCTGTTCTGTTTGAATCCATTTGATTCTGTTGTTTTTTGTTGATTTGTTTGTTTTTGATTGATTTTTGATTTGCTTGTTTTTAATTCTGTTGTGCTTGGTTTGTTTGTTTTTTATTATGTTCTGTTTAGTTATTTTCTGTTTGATTCACTTTGTTTTTGTTGTGTTTGATTCTGTTGTGTTTAAGTAACTCAGTAATGAATGAGTGAGTAACTCACTCATTCATTCATTCATTCATTCACTCATTCATACTCATTCATTCATTCATTCATTCACTCATTCATACTCATTCATTCATTCATTAATTTGTTTGTTTGTGATCAGTTGTGGGTAAGAAAATGGGCAAAGAAAGCATTTTTACAGCGTCAGTGACTAAACTAATACAGCATTTCCCGCAATGCTTCTGTTGTTAAGGTATCTTTAAGAGCACCTGCTACATCGATGTGCGCTGGTTCCCGTTTGATGTTCAGCGGTGTGATCTAAAGTTCGGCTCGTGGACGTATGGCGGATGGTCTCTGGACCTGCAGATGATGGAGGCCGATATTACCGGATACATCGCTAACGGGGAATGGGACCTGGTTGGTAAGTTTTACGCACGGTACAGTGATGTATGATACTGTGAATGATTAATATAATCATATACCATGTTATTTATGTGATAATCTAAAAATACCAGGCTAGTACCATGATATATGCCCTAAAACACATGGTAGTGCCATTGTACCATGTCCAAAACTGTTATTTTAGTATCATTAATGTACTACTACAGTATTTATTAATATTTTGAATTAGTTTTCATTTTCCTTTTTTTTATTCAAGATTTGAAATGATATTTTTTTCTGGTGTATTTTTGTCATTTATTTTAGCTTTTTATTTTATTTGATTAATTTAGTTTTATATGTAATTCAGTAATATAATATTTATATATTTATAATATAAATTATAATTTATTAATATAAAATTGCAACTTGAATTATAAATTAGTATATATAATATGAATAAATATTTTAATATTTTGAATTAGTTTGAAATTTTATGTTTTCCATTTTTAAAGTTGTAATAATTTAATAATCTCTTTTTTAATTAATTGTTAGTTTTTTTTATTAATTATTCAGTTTTAATTTAATTTCAATGAAAACTAATTATTCATATATGAATAAATTAATAATCCCATAGTATCACAGTGAGACGTGTGATTTGAAGCAGATGTTGAGAAACACTGGAGGAAAACAAACAAGTTTTACATAATAGTGTCTGCCATGCATCATTTCATACACACACACACACTGATTTTAAACACTCTCAGTCCCTCATAACTGCATGTGAAATCATCCATTTGTAAATAATCAGCATTTCACAAGATGCCCTGATACATTTCTGTCTTCCAGAACATCATTTGTGCAGATTATCACCGCCAGAAGCTGTAGAGAGCCTGTATAATTTCAGAGTTACTTAAAATAAAAGAAAAATAATTAGCTGACCTCATAAAGCAAATGCATGAAGATTGGACTTGGTGACATATTACAACTTGTCTTGGCTCATGAATATTAATTAGGTGACACAACAACTGATTCTGAATTTGATTCTGATTTGCTAAAATATAAGTGAGCACTAGGATTTCTGTCCTCATGAGCACAATAATTCAGCAAATTGAGCAAAAACCAAAACTGATTAAAACATGGTTCCGTACTCTAAGTATATTTGTTCTTTTTGATTCTGCTGTTTTTAGACTCTTTGATTTAATTTAGTTTGAATCGGTTGTGTTTAATTCTGTTCTGTTTCATTTTTGTTTGATTCTGTTGTGTTTGACTCTTTGATTTGGTTATCTTTGATTCTGTTTTACTCCGTTCTTTTTATTCGATTTGGTTTGTTCTGTTTGATTCTATTGTTTTTGATTCTGTTCTGTTCGATTTTGTTTTAATCAGTTGATTTGATTCTATTGTGTTTGATTTGTTTGTTGTTTTGATGCATGTGTTTTTGACTCTGTTTGATTCCGTTTGTTTGTGATTCTGTTTGATTCTACTTGATTCTGTTTTATTTAATTCTGTTTGATGCTTTGTTTCTGTTTTATTCAGTTATGTTTGATTCGGTTCTGTTGTCTTTGATTCATTGGTTTGTTTTTGTTTTGTTTGTTTTATTTACCATTTGATTCTGTTCTATTTGACTCTGTTGTTTAGAACAAACACTAAACAGACATTAAATAATGTCTGAATGCATATCTACAGTTGTATTTTAAAGTATACATCAAGATTTTTTATTTTCTAAAGAAAATGTGAGTGATGTTATGGGGAGTTTCCAGGGTGTTGCTAGAGTCAGTGACGTGTGTGTGTGTGCGTGTGTGTGTGTGTGTGTGTGTGTGTGTGTGCGTGTGTGTGTGTGTGTGCGTGTGTGTGTGTTGTAGAGGTTCCAGGCAGAAGGAATGAGAAGTTCTACGACTGCTGTAAGGAGCCGTATCCTGACGTCACCTTCACTGTGGTCATGAGGAGAAGGACGCTGTACTACGGCCTCAACCTGCTGATCCCGTGCGTCCTGATCTCCACTCTCGCGCTGCTGGTGTTTCTGCTGCCCGCCGACTCTGGAGAGAAGATATCGCTGGGTGAGACGCACACAAAACTTTTTAATGCACTCTTAAAAATAAAGGTTCTTTAGTGGCATCTCTGGTTCCATGAAGAACCTTTAGCATCCATGGAAGGCTTACAAGGTTACAATGTTCTTCACACTTAGAAAAAAATGCCCCTTCTGTGGCATCGCTGAGAAAAAACCTTCAATTTTAAGAGTGCATCGCCGTCATTTCTTCCAGGCAATAATGAGATTCCATGGAGCACAAATGTAGACTTTTGCTTAAGTTTTCAGCTTCTTAGATGTTTCTCCTGAGAAAAAGACCCTAGTAATCTCACTTGCGTCTGCTCTCGCTGATAAATGGGTTTGAATGCAGCAAACAAGAGCAGCTGATTTTGCAATACAAGAGTGTCTGATGCTCAGTGTGTGTCCTTAATTTCATGGTGTGTGGTTTCTGAGTGTGTGTGTGTGTGTGTGTGTGTGTGTTTCTGTTTCACATTATAGCATTTAAAAATCATTGGCTCCATGCAGAATTAAATACTAGTGCACTGCATACTCCACAGTCTACACGCTATAGTGCGAACTACTGTAAATAGTAAATAATTACTCCTGTAAATAATTCACTAAAATGAATCAGACTTCCTTTATGTGAGAGAGAAAACAGGTCAATCGACTTAAACGCTGCAATGAAAACTGGAAAAGTATACATGCCGAATAACATGGTAATGCTACTAAAACACTGATCCAGAAGTGTTTGTGTGTTTGTGTGTTTGTGTGTGTGTGTGTGTGTGTGTGTTTGGATGCAGTCCAGTAGTTTGAGAGATTGGCACGCTTTAAGAGACGCTCTGGAATCAATAAACACCAAGACAGAAACACACAGACTCCAGATATTTCATCCAGTCTGAAATCACAGCTCAAACATTCAACATGACAAACAGCCGGAAACACGCGGTCTTCTTAATGATGGGATCGCTGTATTGATCTGTGGGCTTCATTAAGACCCAGCGTGAGTTTGGAAAGGCCGGATTTTTCCAGACTTTCCATCACGGATATTATTTAATATGACTGATGTCACAGAAGTGAATTATTCGAGTGAGACGCTTCGTCTCTGATTTATCATTCACAGACAGAATCCAGCCATAACTCAAGCGATCTCGTTTCCTCAGCAGAAAACTGTTATGATCCATGCTGATGTTTGTCTCTGGATTATTTTGAAGCAATAACTGTAATTTTACTATGGTAAAGAGGCATTGTTTAGGCACAATGTGAAGTGTAATATTCATATATAATTGATTTTGCAGTCCCATGCAGTGGCATAATGTGTTTTTGCTGTTGTGTCCTGACAGGAATCACTGTGTTGCTGTCGCTCACCGTCTTCATGCTGCTGGTGGCCGAGATCATGCCCGCCACCTCTGATTCAGTGCCTCTGATTGGTAAGTCTGTCAATCACAGCATGGGGGCGGGACTGATGTGTGGGCTTAAACAGATGGGAATGAGTGACACAGATGGAGAGAAATGACGGCGGCTGCTTTAGAGACCCTGAAAACCGAGATGCAGCAAACTGCATTCATCACATTCATGGCTATGTATCATCCAGAAATGGGCCGCTTAGAAACGAGCGCGATCGCTCACTCTGAACGCTCCCGAAGGAGTCTCATCCTGATGCCTGAGTGTGTTATTTGTCTGTTCCCAAACGGACCATTACAGAGGAAACCCCATCGGATAATGTCAGAGGAAAGAGCTTTTTCATATTGAGAGCTTCTATTTAATAACTTGGTTATGGTTGACGTTCACAAAAGGAGATATTTAGCTGAATGTTCATGCTGTTAACTGATTGATAAACTATCGAACATAAAATTAGCAATACATAAAAAATACATTGATTTTAAATACATTGTTATTTACTGACAGCTTTATTTATGCTAAATCTGCAATGATGGTACCGATTTTTGCTATATTTATTTTTTATTTAAAATTCCAGTTTTATTTATTTGTTTGTATTTATTTAAAATTAACAATAAAAAGTGCCTAATTTTAAATACATTAAATGCTGGTTACTCTTATTTAGTGACAGCTTAATTTATTCTACATCTGCAACAGGGTCACTAATTTCTCTGTATTTTTATTGTATTTATTTTACTTTACAGTCCCATTTAAATACATTTTATATCATTTTAATTACATTTGATTTCATTTAATTTTTTTATTGCTATATAAAATAATGACATCAAACAAATGAAGGTTTTAAACTATTCAGCTAAATGCATAAATGTAAATGATAACAGCAAAAACTGCAAACTAAATAAAGTAAATAGTAAATCAAATTAAACAGGAATTTATTTAATGTATATTTTATCATTTTTAATTACATTTTATTTCATTAAATGTTGTGTTTATTTAATGTTTATTGTTATAAAATAATGAAATCAAACTAATTAAACAGGAATTTAAACTATATTCATATTAAACTTGATTTTTGATATTTGATTTATGAATTTTCACTTTTGACAAAAGTGTCTGAAATATGTTCATATAAATGTGAATGATTCCAGCAAAAATGGCAAACTAAATAAATAGTAAATAGAAATATAATGTTATTCAATGTATTTTTTGAATATAATTTTGTATTATTTTTAAATGTAATTTTATTTAATTTAGTTTTTTTTATTTAGATTTTTTTTTTGCTATAAAATAATGAAATCAAACAAATAAAATGGGGTTTTAAAGTGTATTCAGAGCAGTCTCAAGTTTGATATTTGATATGAATTTTCCTCATTTGCAAGTCACTTTTGATAAAAGCATCTGCTAAATGCATAAATGTAAACAGGGCTGAAAAAATGGCAAACTAAAGGTAAATATTAGTGCTGTCAAACGATTAATCGTATGCAAAATAAACGTTTTTGTGTACATAATATATGTGTGTGTACTGTGTATATTTATTATGTATATATATATAAATACACACACATACAGTATATATTTCAGAAACATTTTATGTTTATATATTAAATATATTTATTTTAAAAATAAAATTATAAGAATATAAATATAGACATGTAAATATTTTCAAAATATATACTGTATCTATATACTACTGTTACATAATAAATATACACAGAACACAAACGTATGCAAACAAAAACTTTTATTTTGGATGTGATTAATCGTTTGACAGCACTAGTAAATAGTAAATATAAATTTTTTAAAATTATATTAACATATTAAATGTGTATTTTTATATATAAAATTTTAAATCATATACATTTTATCCAACTAATATGATAAATCACTTTATATAGTGTGTTTGTTTCAGTGCAGGACGTCCCAACAGCTCTGAGTGATTCAGGATCTTATTAGACTGTGTTTACTGAAGCCTGGCGGTGTGTAATGCTACAGTAGCTCTTCTCACACATCGCTGAAGATCTCATGAATGCTGCATCTACACGCAGAGATTTCTGTGGATTCGATTTGTGTAAAGAAGCCCTTTCAGGAGGTGTGTGTGTGTGTGTGTGTGTGTGTGTGTGTGTGTGTGTGTGTGTGTGTGTGTGTGTGTGTGTGTGTGTTTCAGCGCAGTATTTTGCCACCACTATGGTGATTGTGGGTCTGTCGGTCATCGCTACAGTCCTGGTGCTGCAGTATCACTATCATGATCCAGACGGAGGAAAGATGCCGCGATGGGTGAGACAAACATCTCCATCCGGGACATTCCTGAAGAAGCTTTATGACTACAAATGCTTTACATCACCAAACCATGCATATGGAGTTTTTATCTATTTGTTTATTTTTTTCCAAATTTTTTATGTTTAGTGATTCATTATTAGTATATGTTTAAGTGTGTGTTTTTTTTATTTATTTGTTTGTTTGTTTGTTTAGCTTTTTATTTAGTATTTTGTTATGCTGCATAATGAATGAAATATACATTATTAATAATTTTGTGTTTATTAATTTTTGCTACCCGGGCATACATTTATTTATTTGTTTATTTCATTTTTTTATTTGTTTAGTATTTTATCTGTGTGTCTGTCTGTCTGTCTGTCTGTCGTTCTGTCTGTCTGTCTGTCTGTCAACTTTCTATCTATCTATCTGTCTATCTATCTGTCGTTCTGTCTGTCTCTCAACTTTCTATCTATCTATCTATCTGTCTGTCTGTCGTTCTGTCTGTCTGTCGTTCTGTCTGTCGTTCTGTCTGTCTGTCAACTTTCTATCTATCTATCTATTGTTCTGTCTGTCTGTCTGTCTGTCTATCAACTTTTAATGACATTTTGCTTTTTTCATACATTATTAATGCATTTTTAATTGTGTATATTTTTATTTTTTGCTACACAAGCTTTACATTACCAAAGCTTGATTGGTTTGTTCATTTATTCGTTTTTTGTTTATTTATTTACAACATTTTCTATCACTTTTTATTGCAGTTTTTATTTATCACATTTTGCTTTTATTTCACACATTATTAATTTATTTTTAATTGTGTGTGCATTTTTTCCTTTTGCCACAAAAGATTTACATTACCAGTGCATTTTTCTGTTTGTTTGTTTGTTTCATTTTTTATTTAATTAGTATTTATATATTAGGTTAATGGTAAGTCTCTGACTCTCTCTGCTTTCACAGTAAAGTGCTGAAGGTCAGCGTCTCTCGGTGCGTGACGTGAATCAGAGTGAACTGTGGACGACAGCTTTATACTAAATGCATGAGACAAGCCACTTGGGCTGTTTTCAAACAAACTTTGTCCAAACAACAAATTTGTCTTCTAGGCACAAGCTTAACACAGCCAACATGAAATATTAATTCTAATTTTTGCTTGAAAAAGAGGTTTCATGCCTCTGTCGTCTAGAATTACAATAAATATTCCAGCACCAATTAGGAGGAAGCAGCGAACGCCTGCGGAAAAGCCAACAGCATTATGATGAGCCGGCATTGATTCAGTCATATTGACTCAGCGAATATCTAACACTTCACTAAGTTATGCAAATACATCATTAAGTGCTTGTTAAGAGTGCAAACTAGCTAATCATACAATACAGTAGTCTTTGTACTATTTGCATGGATGGGTGCATCGGTTATTTATTTATCTATTTATTTGTTTGTCCATCCACCATTTATTCATCACATCCCTTTGTTATAATTTTTTATTTCTAATTTCAAACAAACTAATAATTACATACAATAGTCTTTGTAGTTTTTGCATGGATGGGTGCATAGGTTGGTTATTTATTTATTTGTTTTGCTTTTTATTTATTATTTTGTTTGTATTTCATACATTTATTAATATATTTTTAATTATGTATGTATTTAAAATTTTTGCTGCAAAAGCTTCACAAGCATTTCTTTGTTTGTTTGTTTTTTGCTTTTTATTTATTTCAGGACAAAAATCAAACAAGCTAATGATGAAATATTGTACAGTAGTCTTTTTAGTGTGCTTAGGCTATTTGTTTACTGATTCATGTGTTTGTGTGTGTATTTAATTATTCATTCATTTATTCATTTTAAATGTAATTTCTTTATTAGTTTTCATTTTTAATGATGAGTATTTTGTTTATTATTATATTAATAATATATTTATATTTTTTATTGTTTTCTTTTATCTTTTTTTTATACAAAAGCTTCACATTACCAAAGCAAGCAAGCATTTATTTGTTTGTTTGTTTTCATTTTTAATGATAATGACAATTTTGTATTTATTACATGAATAATATATTTATATTTTTAATTCTGGGTGTATTTTTATTAGTGCTCTCAAACGATTAATCGCGATTAATTGCATCCAAAATAAAAGTTATTGTTTACATAATATATGAATATGTACTGTGTTTATTTATTATGTATATATAAAGATACACACATTCAGTATATATTTTGAAAATATTTAGATGTATATGCATTTATATATTTATATTATTATATTTTATATAATATGTTTAATATATAAACAAAATTTTTCTTAAATATATAAATGCATGTGTTTTTATTTATGAATATAGATATACATAATATATACATAATAAATATACACAGTACACACACATATATTATGTAAACACAAACTTTTATTTTGGATGCGATTAATCGCGATTAATCGTTTGAGAGCACTAATCTTTAATTTTAGATACAAAAGCTTTATATTATCAAAGCATTTATTTATTCATTAATTAATTAATTTATTTGTAAATGTAATTTATTTGTTTGTTTTCATTTGAATGATAATAATATATTTATATTTTAAATCCTGTGTGTATTTTTAATTTTAGATACAAAAAGCTTTACATTTCCAAAGCGTTTATTTATTTAGTTATTTTTAACTGTGGATTAAGTGCTCAAATGTGTTGCTGGGGCCACTGTATGGTTGTGTTTTGTCGTCCAGACCCGCGTTATCCTCCTGAACTGGTGCGCCTGGTTCCTGCGCATGCGGCGACCCGGCGAGGAGCAGATCCGTCTGGCCTGCCACAACAAACCCCCTCGGCGCGGGAGCGTGTCCAGCGTGGAGCTCTCTGTCAGCCAGGGGGCGCTGCAGCCCAGCAACATGCTGTACATCGGCTTCAGGGGCATGGAGGGAGTCCACTACGCATCTTCCCACGATTCGCACGGCGTCCTCTGCGGACGAATCATGGCCTCTGCCGAGGAAGATGTGCTGTTGCCGGGGGCGACCATGCCCTCACTTGGGGGCGGGGCCGGAATTGGGGGGCGGGTCAACGGTGGCATTGTGGGCGGGGCTTTGGAACTGGAACTGGCAAAAATTCTGGAGGAGGTGCGATACATTGCTAAAAGGTTTCGCAACCAGGATGAGGACGAGAAAGTGTGTAACGAGTGGAAGTTCGCGGCGGCGGTGATCGATCGCTTGTGTTTAATGGCGTTCTCCATTTTCACCATCCTCTGCACCATCGGGATCCTGATGTCGGCACCCAATTTCGTAGAAGCCATCTCGAAAGATTTCTTCACCTGATGCTTGACGGACTTCGCTGTTTTATGTTTTTTGTACATCGCTCAGCAGCGCCTGTAATGCGCTAATAAAACGTGCTAACTAGGGCTGAGCGATATATCGAAAGCAAGCAACATTAGTTGCTTTTTATTGCACTTTTTATTCGTTTTCATTTTCCTCGTCTCGTTATTTGCTAGAGCATTTAAAGATGTTTTACTGCACTGAAAAAAATTTGTTTACTTTGAAATAGGACTGCAAAAATTTTATCGCGATTAATCACATTCAAAATAAAAGTTTGTTTACATATTATATGTGTGCGTACTGTTTATATTTAGTATATATATTTAAAAATACACCCACATGTATATATTAAGGAAAAATATGTTAGATTTATATATAAAATATTTATATTTATATATAATATAAATTATATACAAGTATTAAATATATATACATACAAATATTTTTTTAAATATATACATATATGTGTGTGTATTTATATATACATGATCAATATACACAGTACACACACACACACACATGTAAACATTAATCGCGATTTATGGTTTTGCAGCCCTACTTTGAAACAATTTTCACACAGAAATTGTCATTAAATTTCACAAATAATTACAAAGAAATGGCAAGTAAGACTTCGAATTAAACGTGAAAGTTTGAAGTAAAAAAAAAAACTGAAAATGTAGGCTACTGCAATTTTTTTTACTGCAATTTTTTACAGTGTAGCATTTCTGATTTAAACAATTGCCATTACTGTTAGTAGGTTTGATTTATTTCTTTGAATGAGTTTGAATCATTTGAACTGATTCATTGGTTTGTTTCGTTACTTTAAATGTTTTACTGAAGTTCGCATGTGGCATTTTACACTTTTTAGTAAAACATTGTAGTATAGGGAAATATTGCGGTTTAATATTTATTATATAGTACATTTCAGGTTTGTTATCGTTAACTAAAATTAAAACTCTTATAAACAGTTTTGTTAATTGAAATAAAAGTGAAATAAAATAAATTAAATACAAAATTCATACTTGACCAAAAAAAACTAAATAATAAATAAAAATATTAATAGTAATATTTGAAAAAATTATAATAATAAAAGTGTCAAAACGCATATAACACTAACTAAAGATGAGATAAAAATTAAACAAATGAAAATACAATTTTAAATCAAAGAAATAAAAATATAAAAAAATATATATAAGTGGTATATAAATAAGACTAAAATAACATGCATATTTATAAAAATCATTAAATGTCATTATGCCTCTAATTCTAGATTTTCATTGTATTTTATTAACATGAAGTATTTTGAACCTGCTTCTCGCAGCGACTGTGAAATGATGGCTCTTCTGATTGACAAAAGAAACCTTTTACCATATTTTAGAGCAAAAGCCAATATTTTGTTAGCTACTGAATATTTCTCAAACTTTAATCCTAAGTATGTTAACCTTGTGGTGTTTATAATGCGTAAATGAACTGACAGGACTCAATGAATAGTGATTCAGTAAGAGATCAACATGTTGGTTTGAGCTCAAGGTCATTAAACTCGTAGATCTTTGCACAGTTAATGTCTCATAAGCAGCAATACATGTTTTAATTGTGATATGTGTTGTACGTTGGTTCCCTGTGAACGTTTAGGTGAGTTTTCAAGACAAGTGTTCGTTGTGTTTTGTGTACAGTGGGGTCCAATCGCCTGAAAATGCTCCTATTTTGAATTATTTTCTAAATGAATACAGCTTTTTCATTACAAATTGTATTGTCGACACAATAATCAAGTTCCTTGTGTTCAAATGAAAAATGTTTTAGACCCTGCAGCGTCATGTTGTGCTTGTTTTTCAGGCCTGACAGACTCACAAATGTGCTTTTTTTTACATGGAAACACTTCATTATTTGACTCTTTGGTACATAAACACACTCTTGTATCAATACTCTGAAACTGTTTGATGGTACAGTCCATACAATTTGCTGAAAATGACTAGCCCTCAGGCCATCCAAGTTTGTTTCTTCATCAGATTTGGAGAAATCACTTGCTCATCAATGGATGTGAATGGGTGCCGTCAGAATGAGAGTCCAAACAGCTGATAAAAACATCACAGTAATTCACAGCACTCCAGTCCATCAGTTCACATCTGGAGAAGAGAAAAGCTGCATGATTGTAATAAACAAATCTTTCGTTAAGATGTTCCTTAACTAAACTGTTGTTTCCAACTAAAATACGAGTCCATAATCTATAATAGCGCTTCCTCTGGTGGAAAAGTCCATCTCCTGTTGTCTCTCACAAAATCCAGCCACATTTTTTATTAGAGCTGTTTTGGACTCTTTTGGCTTGTAAACGGTGCAGATTTCTCTCCTGATTCAGACAAGATTACTTTTTTTTTGGCCAGAAACAATAGTTTGTAGTTCAAAACATCTTAACGATGGATTTGTTTCTTACAAACACAGCTTTTCACTTCACAAGGCATTAACTGAGGGACTGGAGTGGTGTGGATTATTGTATATATGTTTTTATCAGCTGTTTGGACTCTCATTCTGACGGCACCCATTCACTTCCATTGTTGAGCAAGTGATGCAATGCTCCATTTCTCCAAATTTGATGAAGAAACAAACTCATCTACATCTTGGATAGTTTGAGGGTGAACACATTTTCAGCAAATACTCATTTTTGGGGTGAACAATTCCTTTTAGGGGTCAGACTTATTGTCATTCTGTCTTCTGGAAAATTAAGTTTGTGCCTGTGCCAACAATATTGAGACTGGCAGGAAAGCTGGAGTGATTTGGAGAAGTTTCTTGTTTTATGGAGCGTTCCCAACATCTCATTTTATTTCAGGTCACCTGTGCCGGTACTCTCATGGTTTGTGAACCCTGTATAAATAAATGTATTTTTTCTATTATGATATTCTGCTTTATGTGACAGTTTTTGGTGGAAAGGATTTCAGAAGCTTTTTAGGTTATCGCATTTCATACCAAGTCCGAGTTTGTCAAATGCACAACAATATTGTATGCACCAATGTTTTTTGTTGTTTGTTTTTATCAGAAGATGCAACTTGTGTCTATCAAAACATGTATGCCGTTTTTTCAAGTCTTCTGGATTTTGTTGATGGTTTGTGTGAGGAAAGGACTGAAATTCAATGCATTGTTTATCGTTCAAGGCAAAATCTTCCCATCCACAACATGAATGAAGCTTAAATTTGAGTCCGTTCCATCACATCAAATCTATCATGCGACACAAGTTATATGGACTACTTTTAGGGAAAAGATATGCAACTGTATGTGGGTCAAAGACGAAAAAGGGTTTACGCATTAAAACAATAAGTGTAATACTGCTTTAAATTGTTGTTGTTTTTCCCCCAAAAAATTACAAAGTTTTCTGTTTAATTTCATTGCAAATAAATAAATTTATATCATACATTTTCCCCCTGATTTACAGAAGAGACCCACTAAAATGTCATTCAATGTAACAATCTTCTCAGGCATATTTACAGCAAAAATCAAGACTAATTACTTTCACCCCAAATACTAATTAGTTGTAATTTTACATTTTTAAAGGATTTGCCACTATCCTAGGTTTTGCCCCATTTGTCAGTAAGATTTTTTACTAATTTAAAACACAATCAAATTGAATATGCTCCCTTATTCTTTTATATATTTTAATGTGCACAAGTCAGAATAAGCATGTTGTTTGAATTTTTACATAAATATTGTGTTACACTGAATGACAATGTAACATTATTTCAACCAAATTTTATTTTATCCTCCAAAAACTTATTTGAAACCTTAGAAGTAGACACTTTACTTACATTTAATGTGCTTTCTATGGACATAAAATCACTTTTGTACATTTCTTTTGATGCGGACATATTAACATCTTTGACCCATATATAACCATTCTGCATCATAAACTCTCAGGACTCCTGCTGAACTCCTGATGAATCTCATGGGGGGAAAAGCAGAGAGGATCCAGATTTTGAGGAAATCTGCCGCTATGGGCATCTGTTCTCCCGAATAATCCATCACAGCAGTTAAACAGGCGAGAAAGCTCACATTCACTCTGTCTGGCGTCATTAGCTCCTTCAGTTATTGTCCTGCACGGCTCTGGCTTTATGGACCTGCAGGAGAACAACAGAGACGTTGAGAATGAGACACTGGCAGGAAATCTGAGACAGGGAAACCAAGGTCAGGGAACAGATGGGAAAAACTGGCTCGTCGTCTTGGAGGATGGAAACAACGGCGCTTCCCAGATTTTAGGAAAGCACTTTTTCTGCCATATAAGCAAGTATTGTGTTTTTTTAACCCAGCGCTGGGTTATATTTAACCCAGCATTTTTTAGAGTGTAGTTCATGAACATGGAAATCATTCAGTCCCATGATATCAAACCAATTCTGTAGTGGGTTGCTGGCCAAGACAGATGGGGCTGGTTAAGTTAATTAGTTTTAATGAGGAGAGCAGTTGGCCAACTAGGTAAACCAGCAGAATACTAGCTTTCCTTGGTTTTAAGACCAGCATAATCCATTTTAAGTTCATTTTAGGCTATTTTTCATATCACTACTACAACTCGCAGGCAAGTTTTACTCCACAGAGGAGCAACTTCAGAGTAGAGCAAAACTAGAAAGATGGAGAAATTACTACTTTTATTCAGCAAGGATGCATTAAATTGATCAAAAGTAAAATGTTACAAAAAATTTCAAATAAATGCCATTCTTTTGCACTTTCTATTCTTCTGTGAATCCTGAAAAATAAAATGTATCACGGTTTCCACAGAAATATTCAGCAGCACAACTGTTTTCAGCATTGATAATAATCAGAAATGAGCAGCAAATCAGAATGATTTCTGAAGATCATGTGACACTGAAGACTGGAGTAATGATGCTGAAAATTCAGCTGCGCATCACAGAAATACATTACATTTTACAATATATTCACACAGAAAACAGCTATTTTAAAAGTTAATAATATTTCACGATTTGTACTGCAGTTTTTTATCAAATAAATGCAGCCTCGGTGAGCAGAAGAGACTTCTTTTAAAAAACTAAAAATATTCCTTTTTTTCATCACAGGAATAAATTACATATATCACATAACATACATATCACATAGGTAACAGCTATTACATCTTAAATGAAAGACTATTAAAAGATTTAAAAAGTGTAATGATATAATACAATATTACTGTTTGTCAATAGTTCATAGCAGATGTCTTATGTTTTTTCACGAGAAGAACAACACATATTTGGAATCTTTTGACTGAGTTTTCTGCCAATAGCAATTTTAATAAATGCTTTAAACAATCTCACATGCACTGTAAAAAAAATCTGTGACATTTAGGGTAAAATACCGGCAGCTGTGGTTGCCAGAACTTCACCATAAAAAATATGGTAGCAACATTTTAGGTTTTACAGACTTAACTTAAATTCACAATAAAATACAGTATTTCATTAACTGATGTAATGTTAATAAACCAACATATTGAAGCGCTAATATCTGTTTTGAACCATTGAAATGCACTGATAACCACCAAAAACTGGTGGTGATGAGAAAGTCACGTGATGAACCAAAGCTCATCACAAACAGCTTTTCTACGAGCTGAGGAGGACAATACTTTTATATAGAAGCTGCACATTCACACAAACACTAAACCCCATCACGGTGACACACGTGATACTGAAATAATGCAATAAACATTAATTTAACAACATTAGATGTAAGATTAAACCCTAATGTACACAACTAATAAGAAAAAACTAAGAAGAAATGTTATTTCAACAAAAAAACATCAAATATGAAGTGTCATGCAGGGAATTCTGGGAGTGTCAGTTTATGGTTTGTCACTGTAAATTATACAATGACTTTTTCTTTTTCACTTCTAAAAAACATATTTTTAACAGTATTTTACTGTAAAATTACATGAAATGTAATTACATATATTCACCGAATATACTATGGAAACTTACTGTTAACCAGTTAACAGGTTTTTACTGTAGCATTTTTACAGTATTTTACTGTTAAAATCACAATAATTTTTTACAGTGTGCCTCCTGGGCAATAAAACACAAGGCCAAACTTCAACAAACACTGCTATTATCTGGAATGTTATATGAATAATAGAGATGCATAACTATCCTGCATGACTGTTCTGTCATCGATCAATCCATACAAACCGTACGAACAGCACTATCTAGGTCTGTTCATCTTGACATGATTTCTGCTTTACTCCTCTTCCTTCTTCAGGCTTCAGCAGGCTGTGGGAGATTCAATTTGTTCAACAAACATGCTTGTGTTGCCATCCAGTGGATGATGGATGATGTACATTTGCACTAGTCTTAGTGAGGTATAGTGTACAATGAGGAAGAGGTTTTCAGCCATATCTCAAGATATGGATGTCTCAATTATGTGTCTTTTAAGTATAAAGTAAATATCCTCTGTTAAAAACGGACCTTAAATGAGTCTGCACCTTATTTTTAACGTAAGAGCGAGCGCGGTCATTTATGTGAGCGGCTTCCAGTCTCATTCACGTCAGTTATTTTAACTATACATAAGTCCATTACGTCGCTTTATATTGAAAACTAGTATTTGTTAGTATATTATTTTAATTCATATTCATAATCATATGCACACTGATTTGTAGCGTGAATAATTTTACCGTCACTGCACTTTATTCTTCTAGACACTTACAGTGGCTAATGGACCGGAAGTCGCACACATTTAAGGCAAAGCTTACTTCCACGTCGCAAAAATAAGGTGAAAAAAAATCTGAGCAACTCGGATCATATGATGAGAAAAGTTTTCAGATCATATTGTGATCTGGCTTTAATTGCAGATCCTGAGCAAGTTTGAGACATTATTGATCTTTTCTGAAACTCTAGAGGAGACTCGTGAGAGATTATTGGAGTCTCTTTCTCAGGAGAAACAATGAACTCTAAAGGTCCTTGCTGTTACGGGGCGAACGAGACATGAGACTTGCGGATGCATTTGCAAAGCTTTAATAGGAGAAAGAGACGTGGTCATAAAACTGAGACATGAGACTTGCGGATCCATTTGCAAAGCTTTAATAGGAGAAAGAGACGTCATAAAACAGGCATGGGTCAGACAATGGAAAACAGGTATATTGAGGGCAAGACAGAAGAGTAATCCAAAACGGGCGTGGTCGACAAGCGGCTAACAATATCCAGAGGGTTTGACATGAGGGGTTATCCAATAACACGAGCTAGAGTCCTGGTGAGGTGCAAACACAGTCCGAAACAGCAGGCAAAGGGTTAACTCAAGATAAACAGGCAAAAATCAGGTACCAGGAAATCAGAAAACACGGCGAGACTAGACTAAGACTAGAACTAACACAGGGAACAGGCTCTGTAAAGTAGCTATCACACGATGAGTGATAAGCGCTAAACAATACTCAGCAGTTTGAAAGGGGTCTGAGTGAGTGTTATATACACTGTAAAAAAAATCCGTAAAATTTACGGTAAAACAATGGCAGCTGTGGTTCATGGACAGGATTCGTGACACTTGCACACTGAGTCCGAAATTTTCGTATGCGTTTTTTCGTATTCGTCATCCTTTCTTATCAAAATGCTTGCTATGGATGCGAAAACGCAGAAAATCGAACCTGGGGCCTGATGTATAAACGTTGCGTACGCACATATCGGGATTTATAAAAAATAAACTAGGCGTAAATACAGTATGTGCGCAACGTACGGACACTCTAGAGTCTAGACCATGCGTACGCACTCTTTTACTGGAGGGAGCGAAATAAGGAAGCAAACAGAATGATTTTAAAGTCTGTTTTACATTTGACATACACGTTTAGATTAAATATGACACTCTGAATAATGAAATTAAGCACTAAAATTTCATGAAATTATTATCCAGAAATTACAAAATTTTTATATGAATTTAAACAGAAATATTTGCAGTGGATGTGCTTCTGTCGAACAATTTTCCTGTGTTATGCGATTTAATGATATGCACGTTTTATTTTCAAAATGTTTTGTTATTGGCGCACGATGAGTCAGACAGCTATTTATACTGCAAAAAAATAAGGCCTATCTCTTTCCATAAAAATATAGGCTATAAACATTCTAAATATTTATGCATAAATTGCATAAATTGAATGTCTCAAAACGCATTTATAGTCCGTATTTCCTAAAGTATTCCTACCCTTAACTGCATTAAACATGGTGTCACGTGGATGGAAATATGCATGGAAATGATATGCAGATGACGTTATGCATATTAAAACTAGGCGTTGTAAGCTCCATATATGGCTATTTGGGGGAGGAGACGGGGTGGAGATTCACGTACGCACAATCTTCCGCTGACTGGCTATTACGCATGGCTTTATAAATCTGAAAAATTTTGTATGTAGGCAAAATCTAGCTTTTGTGCGTACGCACACATTTAGGATGAACTCTACGTAAGGTTTTATACATGAGGTCCCGGGTCGTATTTATTTTTTAACGTGCAAAACTTTCGGACAAGTATTTCAGACTCAGTATGCAAAGACCTTCATTTGGGAAATATTTCAGATTGTCATTTGTGAAAATTAGGCTAAATTGATTTTTTTATAATTAATTTAGGCTACATCAGAACTTACATGGTTCATATATTTAAAACGAAATGGTTCATGTCATCTTCAAGTGTTGTCTTTTAGTCACAGTCAGTGCTTGAAGTGGACCTTTAGCCTTTAGAGTACCTGCACTTTTTTGTGCGTATCGGCGCTTCTGACATGTTGCCGGTACTCAGAGTAAAAGCATCAGTGTCTGGATGATTATATGATCCCATAATATGATTAGAAAGGACACTATATAAATCACACTAACCAGGCGGGATCACCTCTCATCTCGACCAATCACGTGATTGAATGCATATCAGGTGAGGCATGCAGAGTAGTAGAATAATGATAAATTATTGATTACTAATTTGAATCAGTACTTTATAACGAAAATAATATCTTAAAATGAAAAGAAGCTTCTTTTGCGATCACGTCATTTGAAACCGGTAAACTCCTGTGGAAGGTCCAAGGATCCAGTAAACGAATTCAAACAGTAAGTTCAAAACAGCGCTAATGCAGAGAAAACATGGCCGATTTCATCAGCGATTGCCAGTCAAATTATTCTTTTCAGCGTGTATTTGGTTTAAAAGCAAGAGTGTTTTATAATGAACGCTGATTACGCGGTGGTCAGAGGTTTAGCGATTCTGAATGGATCCGTATAGTAGTAAAGGCAGGCGATTTAGTGCTCTTTGGCGTCTCCCTGTGGTTCTGTTTGGTATCGCAGCATGACTTGTGCTAATTTGTATTGAAACTTTTATTTAATTATTGATTGATTGATTGTGGCACTATACATACATTGTATATTTATACACACTATACATACAGTGTGTATTTATTTATATAATATAAATAAATGAGGGGGGGGGGTGAGTACCGGCACTTCTTTTTTTCTACTTCAAGCACTGGTCACAGTGTGTTGTTAACTGTTTTTTAGTTCTTTAAAACATACTGCATTTACATTCTTCAGTCTCTGAATCCACAAACCCAGTGTTCCAGCATCTGGTGAATGGATGAACAAATGAACGTGGTTTTGAAAATTGTAGGAAGGCAAAGGATAAAAGGTCACCACATCACTTCAAGGGCTTCATTTAACCCAGGTGAGTAAGTTTATTTCACAGGTGTCTGGTGTTTAGTGTAACTCTGTTGTTCTTGTGGCTGGTTGTGGTGAGTGTTGGTGTGTTAAATCGTCTGTGGTTTCCCCGCTGTCATCTTCAACACCGCTGGATGAGCGCTGACTCTGTCCAGACGTCCCTCCAGAGAACTTCACACACTTTGTAGATTTCTGTGACAGAGAAAATTCACATTTATTACTAATGCAGAGACTTTAAAGTCGTGATGAAACAAAAGTAGCGACTGATCTTTTCTTCCGTATTGTGATACACGTAACAAAAAAAGTTGGGGCGGAGACTTGATTATATCTGCCGATTGTTGATTGGATGTTGAGGTGTGGGCGTGGCACTCAAACATGGAGGCGGGTCCGAGCTTTCAGTAGATTGTAAGAAAGGGGCGGAGTTAATGCAGACTAATTTCATTTAAAGATTGAGTTATGAGGTTTCAATTAAAATTATGAGGTAAAAAAAAACTATGAATCACACAATATCATGCATTTATATGTGATTTTTCAATTCATGCGCACTTTAAAAGTGATCACTTGGCATCATGTACTTATTTACATGTTGTTCCAAGCCCTATGACTTTCTTTCTTTCATGTAGCACAAAAGCAGATGTTTACAAGAGCCACGTATGTGAGTAAGTGATGACACAATTGACATTTTTAGAAGAATGAACCGTTTTAACCCTTATAGGTGTACCTTTTTAAAAAGTGAATTAGAATCAGACCTGTTTATTGCTCACTCCTCGTGGATAGCGTGCAATGTCGTCTCTCCTCCGCTCCACTTTTTCCCAGTCTTCTTCCCAGAGATCCCTCCTGTAGTCGGATTTCTGCGTCGTGATTCGCTTGTAGATCGCCTGGTTTTCATGAGTCACCTGAAGAAGCTCCTCCCTCCTTTTCTCAGCATTCAGACTGTAAAACAGGTTAACTAAAACTATTAAAAACATTCTATTTTCGTTACTTTAAATAAATGTTACCTGAATTTAAATATAGGCTATATGTGACCCTGTTACACAAAACCAGTCATAAGGGTCAATTTCTTGAAATTAGCAATGCATATTACTAATCAAAAATTAAGTTTTGATTTATTTACGGTAGGACATTTGCAAAATATCTTCATGGAACATGATCTTTACTTAATATCCTAATGATTTTTTGCCATAAAATAAATTTTTGCGATAATTTTGACCCAAACAATGTATTTTTGGCTATTGCTACAAATAAACCCCAGCGACTTAACACTGCTTTTGTGCTCCAGGGTCACATATATATATTCTCCGTTACCACAGCATTCATCATGGTGCTGTAATTTTAGTAATTAAGGCTAAAAAAAAAGCATAGCAACCATTGTTGCAGGCAAAACACACCCACTTTCTTTCACACAGAGGCTCAGTATTTACAAATGACATTGTTTTCACAATTGTCTGAGATTTCTCTCAATAGGAAGGAAATTATTACTGCATCTACAGCTTATTCATATCTCAATATTTCTGTGATTCTGAGAATCTTTCAAAGGCCAGTTTCTCACAGCCCTCCAAAAATGCCTACGTAGATCAGTCTATCTTCCTGCAAGCAGTCCTTTCATGCTGCACCTCTGCTGTTTGTCCAGATGGAGAGGAGTGGATGTTTATGACAGTTATCTTAGAACCAGACTGTTAGTCCACTCCCACACCATACACTCCTATATTTGGGCCCTTTGCTCCTGACTCACGACTCACCCTCCCTATAAAACTAGAACAATTGATCAAAAAGCCATATCGACTCTTTCTCCACCTCCCACCCACACTTAAGTTTTTTTTGATATAGCTGGCAATGTCACATGGCTGGCTGGCTGCGTGGGTGGAAGGGTGGATGTGGTGTAAGTATTTTGGGAAAATAAGTATTTTGCACATGTGCAAGCATTGATGATAGGCTTATTAATAAGGGTGTGAATATTTACTCTGGCAACAATTTATGATTATTTAGTAAATGATTGTACTAAAGCATCAAAAAATTATATTATTTTAGTGCAAGTCAAGTCACCTTTATTTATATAGCGCTTTTAACAATACAGATTGTGTCAAAGCAGCTTTACAGTATCAAATAGGCAAGTCATAATTATTATTAAAATCACGCTGAAGACAAAAATATGGATGGACAATCAAATGAGTGTTGACTGGAGGTTTTCATAAATGAAAATTGTAAATAACTGTATTTTAGATAAATACAATACATTGAGAATTGCTACTTAAAATGTTTTTGGGATGCTAGATCTATCTATCTATCTATCTATCTATCTATCTATCTATCTATCTATCTATCTATCTATCTATCTATCTATCTATCTATCTATCTATATATAAATCTATCATCCATCCATCCATCTATCATCTATCTATCTATCTACCTATCTATCTATCTATCTATCTATCTATCTATCTATCTATCTATCTATCTATCTATCTATCTATCTATCAATCAATCAATCAATCAATCAATCAATC